CCTTCCTCTTCCCTCTATCGTTCCTCTACCTTCCTCTTCACTTCCCTTTCCTCCTACCCTTTCCCCTCCTTTCCCATCTTCTCTCCTCCTCTACCCCTTCATCCCTTCCTCTTCACCTCTCCCCTGTTTCCTTTCCTCTCCCCACAACATTCTCTCTTCTCCTCCTTCCTCCTTTCTCTTCTCCCTCATTCTCCCCTCCCATCCCTTCTCTTGCTCCCCTTATCCCTTGTGACATCATCATCTCCCAGCCTTAAAACTGGCAGTCACTACTTCATCAGCTCTGGCCCCAGCCAAGACCTTCCTCCCTTTTCAGCCAGCAGCAGCAGCTGCACTCTTGAAGGGGGTAACAATTAGCCATTGGAGGGTGGCAGTGGTTGAGGGAGACAGAGCATGCTGGCCTTTGCAGTCATTGCTCTGTCACCTCATGTACAACAGGCTTAACCCAACACGTGATTTTCCCTTTGGCATCCCCCTCTCCCTCTACCACTGCTGAGCTGTGTTGTGTGTATTTGTCCTCCCCCATCCCCGCACCCACAACCATCTTTATGCCCTCATCTCCTTTGTGAGCTTTGTGTAGCCCTGCCTAGTGTGGCAGCTCCTTAAAGCACCTCTCTTGTTCTTCCCTTCCTTCCTGTGACCACTCCCTATCCCTAATATGGGACCTTCACTGCTTCTCCCCTGAAATACTTGATCTTGGGTTCCTCTCCCCACCTTCATCTGTCCTGTCAACAATGACTGCAGTGCATTCCTGGTTCATGTCCTCCTAGGGACAAAAAGGAGTGACATCTTTCCTCCCCACCACACTCCTAGAACAAAAGATAGGTTAACAAGAGAAAAGCATAACACATTTATTTAATCAAACTTTTATGTGATATGGGAGACTTCAAAAATGTAGACCCCAAGACCCAGGGGAAACTTTGTATGCTTAGGTTTGATGATGAAGAGTAGATAGCCATGTACTCTTTTTGTATTGGACAAAAAGGGTATAATCCAGTAGTAATAGACTGAATGGGAAAACCCAGCAAGGCCTGTCTGCTCAGGTTCTTCTTGGCCTCTCTTTTGTAGCATTTCTTCCTTCTGGGTATGATGCAGGACCCCTCCGGAATGAGGGTCTTATGATCTAATATCAGATAAGGGTAGGTCAGAGAATTTCTTTATGGCCACCTTCTAGACAGAAAGGGGGAGATGAGAGTAGTATTTCCAGGGTTCATGGCTTGCTTTGGGGGAGAGGGGTTCCAGTTTTTATGACTCACCTAGGGGACAAGGAATTATGTTTCTGTGACTTTCTTTGAGGGAGAAATGAAGGGTGAGAGTTAGGAAGCAGGAAGTCAAAGAGACCATGGTTCTGAGGTTGATTCTGAGGTCTTCCAATATCCTTTAGTTCAAAGTACTCAGCACACCAAAGTGCCATACTTTGGGGTATCATTTTCTGAGCCGCAGAATCCCAGATACATCACTCTCCTGAGAAGATCTGGCTCTCATGGTGCACTGACTGAGGCCAAACAAGTGTTCATGACCTACCTGAGCCTGAGAGAACAGCCCCCCAGATCCTGGTCCTCCTGCCTTCCACCATGGGCAAGAACCCCCACCCCACCTCTCCCCAACCCTCCTTGCCTTTTTCTGCCTCATGCCTTTGCTTGTGCTGGTTCCTTCTCCACCTGTTCCCATCACCCTGTTCCCATCACCCACTGCCATTATCCAGGGGCTAAACATCTCCCCTATTATGAAGCTGCTCTAGAGAGGGTGATGTCACTTCTCTTACAGGACTCACTGGACACAGTCAGGGGCCCTAATACTGCATCAGCAGAAAGATGTGTGCGTGGTTCACATGACCTTTGACCACTGACTTTACTCACCTATGGAGGTGGACTTGGGCTTTTGCTTAAGTATGTGGGTGTGCGTATGTGGGTAAATATGTTTAAAAAGATCATGCTTTGGATGAATGAGGCAGGGTTTACCAGTGTACTTGCTAACACCTGCAGAGGGCTCGCCTGGGGAGCTTGAAACAGTACAGATTCCAGACCCCTGTCCCTGACCTCAGAACCAGATTAGAGGAACAGGGGAGGGGGCAGGAATTTGTGTTTTTAATAAGTCCTTCTGTTTGATCTTCACCTTTGGAAATGACTACAGTAAGTGATCTCAGTATTAAAACTCTTAGAAAGCAAAGAGTTTTCATGAAGGAAATCATCACATCATCATATATGTATTAATATCGACAAATATATGGGATTGGGGAGGAGAATCTGTGTATAGGGAGAGAATTGACTATTGTTTCAGGCACTGTACAACAGGGTCTTATTCAATCCTTATGACTCCCTATGCAGCAGGTTCTATAATGCTCACTTTACAGATGAGAAAGGGGAGGCTCAGAGAGGGGAAGTAACTGCTGCATAGTCACACAGCTGGAGAGTGACAAGGTCCATGTTCAAACCAAGGGCTGATGCCAAAGTCCAAGCTTGAGCCACCCTGCAATGCTGCCCATTTGTGAGCCTGGATTTTTTTTTTTTTTTTTAACTTTCAAGGACAGGTTTTCTTTAACTTTCAAGAACAGGCCCCACTGGTTAAGAGCTAACCCCAATGTCTCTCATGATACTCCCTAGAGGTGGGGTTTTGAGGTTCCAAGAGTGCTTCCCACTGGCCTGCCCTGTCCTCAGTATAAGCCCCAGATGGGTCTTAAAAGTTAATCTTTTCTACTCTACTCCCGACTAGGCTTGTTGGTGCTGGAGTGAAGCATTCCTGCCATGGTTTGGTTCTCAAACAGGCTGAGGGACCAGAAATATGAGAGAGGCAACTTGACTTATCCTATCCACAGTGAGTGCTGGAATGAAAAGAAGGCTCTGGCCCAAAACAGATGCCCAGGTTTTTCAATGGGCGCTAAAACTCTACTACTTTGAGTTCAGATGCATCTTCTTTGAAAAAGAATTATCAGTAGAATGAATACAGCCACTACGAGTCTTTCATACTATATGTAAACTAATTCATTCAGTTACTTTTCGTTTGTGGAAAAAATGTACTGAGACTATTCCACTTGGAAAATGAGAGTTTTAAAGTATATTGTTGCCATGTATAATTGAAAAAGTGGCGTGCACATGTTGGGAATGAGTTCGTTGCTTCCAAAGCACCCTGTGGATGTGGAACTCTTCTGGGTGAAGGGGATTCCACGGTTTCAGACTGGATGTCTTTGCTGGAGGACTTGTCAGAGCTTTAAAAATGCTAATTCTCATTATGAATTTCTAGGAAGGGGATATAGTTCTCCAAATGTATTTGACCATAAACCTTTTCATGGAATCTTAGGGACTAATATCTCCTAGAATACACTTTGCAAAACCCAGGATCAAAAATCATTAATAAATACTAACCCCTTACCTGCACGGAATACTTTACAGTGAGTCCCCAGTGGGCTTCAGACACAACCTCATTCAATAGGATTTTCTTGAGGGACAGATGAGAGGTCATTTGAGCCTGTGGTGAGCAAGGGCAAGCCTGGCAGGAGTGATAGGAGTGGGGATGGGCTCTTGGGGAAGCTCTAGGAAGGTGGGGACAAAGGGTCCACTTCATCGGTACCTCTACTTGGTTCCCTGTCTGCCCCAGGAGAGGGGGTCTGCACTTCCTCAGGAAGCTCCCCTTTCTCCCCAGCACCTCTCACTGACTTGACCAAAAAGGCCATGCATGTGAGAGAACTCTGCCTCCTCTGTTCTCCCAGCCAACATGAGGCTCCAGCCAGGCACTTTTCTGGCTTTCTTGCTGCAGGAACATGGCATGGTTGTTTGGGAGCACAGCTTGCCAGGAGGCCCATGGCATGATGGCTTGATCAAAGGGCTTGAGCCAAGGCTGGCCCTGGGCCACGTGGCTGGATTGCAGCCTTTCTATCCATTCCCCTAATCCCATTTAGGATGTTCAGAATCAATGAAAAGATCTGATTGTTCAAATCATACCGAAGTGTGCTAACACCATGTGCTACCCCTGTGGGGATAAACCTGCCTTACAAAGGGAATGCTTGCCTCATGGTGGGACAGAAGGATGAAGGATATGCCTTTTACCTGCAGGACCCCATGAACTTATGAACCCGTGAATGATCCACCACAAATCTGTCTGCATTAACCACTCTGTCCTTCCAGGTGCGCTATTCCATCTGTGTACCCAGCAGCAAAATACAATTCTGCTCAGAATAATGAACGTAATGTTCTGAAGGCACCAGAAGGTTGTGGAAGTATTGACCTATCTCTATTTAGCATCTGCTCACCAGGACCTCTGAGACTGTGGAGGGGGTAACTCAGCAGAAGGACCAGGGCTAACAGGAACTGAATCCTTACCACATACCAGGGCCTGTTGCAAGCACATTGCATGTTTTAAATTGCTTAATCTTCACAGTGACCCAGTGGAGGAGATGATAGTTTTATCTCTTCTCCATATCATGGTAGAGGAAAATGAGGACAGAGAGGCTAAATGACAGGCCCATGGTCACCCAGCTAAGAAGTGAAGGGGCAGGACTTGAACTCAGGCCTCCTGGCCCCAGAGCTTGTGGCACCTGGTATGTGGCAGTAGTTGAGAAGCTACACTGAGCCTGAGTAGACGTGTGGTTAGTGACCCCCTCTGTAGCACAGGGCTGATGGACAGAGGGCTGGCTTGGGCCAAGAGCAGCTGGCACTGCAGATCTGTTCGAATAGCTCTGCCCAGGCTGCTCAGGGCAAGGTGCAGACTGGAAGGCATATGTATCCTAAAATAGAACTTTGGAGAAATAATGTGCTATCCAAAGGAATGAGTCTCAAACGAGAATGTTCAAGAATCAGTAGCAGATGCTGTGTTGGCCACAGAATGTTTCTAGGTAAAATACCCTCCTCCCCACCTGCCATGTCCCCCACAAACCAACAAACAAGCTAAGAAAAAGGAAACAAAATAAAATAAACTGAAACAAATTAATAAACATGCAAACACCACACAGTTATCTCTTCTGTCTGTGGGTAAAACTTACAGCTCTAGAAATAAATGGAGATCGATAAAAAGGGTTTCACAATATGGGAGTAATTTTTGTTTCTCCATTTAATGCTAGGTTTTAAAGGAGGAGAATATGTCTATCACTGTTACATACGCATTCTCTTTAAAACCCATCCAGATGCCTTAATGGGGCTCTGTCAAGAGTGGGAAGGTCTCCACAGCTGCTTCTCAAAGCCAGTAGACACTCAGTGTGGACAGTGGGGAGCTCGTGCTTGGCAGGCCTCCCACGTTGCTATCACTTCTTTTTGAACACTTGACGGCACACCTGGTTGCCACAGGTCAGCTCCTGCAACGTCAGAAAGTGGGTGAGGGGCTAACAAGCCAGGCCTTTCTTCTGCCCAGCTCTCAGCCCCCTTGGTATCTGGGGGTGGGAGGTTGGAATAAAGAGGACACTTAGGCTTTCTGGGCCAAGTGCATCTCACAGACCCAATCAGCGGGCATGCCCTGCAGGTAGCAGTAATTTGATTTTGACCCTTGAATGGAGCTTGAACAACTATAAAAATGAAAAATGCAAAGAAATGACCCTCTTGGGCAGGATTTCTCCTACTCCCATGATTAAAGTAACACGGCCTAAATTATAAAAGGCAGCGAAGCCATGAGGAAGGAAAGGACCTAGTATGGAGAAGTGTTTGGAAGCTAAGGGCCTGAAAAGATGCTGGCCAGTGAGCTGCCCACCTAACCTGGCTTTCTGGCCTCTGGTGATTAGAATAGTGGCTGGTAGTGGCACAGGTACCCGCAGGGTGTGAGGTGCAGAAGGGCTTTCCCAGGCTTGCCTGTGCAGCCGACAAGGTCCTGTTTTTCATCCAGATAGAGGGAGCCCCAGGCCTTATTTGACCCTCACTCATCCTCGAAGGAGGAGGGAAAAACATGAATGTGGGAAGGACCACCACAATCATTGCAGTTGACTATGAATCCATTGTCTAAGCCACAGGGACCACTGGGGATTGTATTACAATTAGAAAAATCCATCATCCAAACCAGTGCAGGTAGGGAAAGCCATCAGTGGAAAACACGATGAATGCCTCCCATATATCATCAGCTGACATTGCCTTCAAAATAAAGATCTCAGGTGAAGCAAGGCTGGCTGTGAAGGGCGCCGTGGCAACCTGAATACTGACATTGGAGCCAGGTACCTGCCTGATTCCAAAGTGAATGAATTAATGAATGAAGAGCCATTCGCTGAATGGGCCATTCATTTACAAATGAGCGAAAAAGGATGAAGGAGTGAAAGATTTTTCGCCATTTGAATGCTGAACCCAAAAAGTGCCTTGAAGATTGAAGAATGAAAAATTAAGCTGTCTCAACAGGTATAAGATATTTAAGGATATCAGTTATTCCTACTGCTCTGTTCTAGTACCAAATTAACCTAAAATATTTTGGGGTCAGGAGGACATATCTTATGGAGAGAGGTCAATGCCTGTGGCAGTTCCCAGGCAGAGTGGGTCCCGTCTCCTCCCTACCCCACTCCCTCTCCCAGGCTCCCATCATTATGAGAAAGCCCTGTCCCACCCTCCTCCAGGGCATCTAAATTCTGTGGCTCACATTTCTTCCCAGCTGGTCTTTAGCAGGTTCCCTGTATTTCTCCTTGGATCTCTGCTTCCTAACTCAGCATTCTGAACTTTCTTTTGAATTGCAGCTGTTCACAGAAACAGCCATATGGATTTCTTCCTGGAGTCCCCTGAGCCAGATGGGAATGGCTTCCTGACTATATGACCACATGCATTTGGCTGGAGCTCGGGGTAGGAGTGCAGGGCCATTTTTCTTGTCAAAGCGCCTGGCTAGGTGACCACAGTAGTGTGTATAAGCAGAACGGAGAGGAGCTGAGCAGACCCCAGTACTTACCAGGTACAGCTTGTCCCCCTCAATCCACTGCTTCCAGCCGCGGTTCTCCTTCTCCCCCTTTTGCACACACACAAGGACATCACCTTCCCAGGTGACCAGTGACTGTAAAGACAGATTCCCAGGCAAATCAAACATAAGGTCTTGAGGGACTGAACACATCTAAACCTGCAGCTGCAATTCCTGCAGCCATTTCAGGGTCCTGCTTGCTCAAAGGGCAGAACCCTCAGCCTCAGGGAGCCAAGATCTTTCCAATGTCATTTTCCACATACACCCTCCATTCCAGCCAAACCAGCTTATCTTGGCTTGCTCCGTTTTCTTTTAAGGAATTCAACTCTTCCATTTTTCCTTGTGGTAAAGATAGCATTTCAAATCAGTGGGAAGAAGATGATAAATTTCACTATATAATGATGTAAAATTTCTGGAAGGGGAAAATACCTTAAAGTCAACAGAGAAACAAAAAACTGAGGGAAAATGATAACATATCAGATTTGGTTTCCTTATATATATAAAGGGCTCCTGTAAATCAATAAGAAAAATGTCATTAACTTAATCGTTCATGTTAACAAAGAACAGGAACCAACAACTTACCAGGGGGAAAGAGCCCTAGCAGATGGCTTCTAAACATAAGAAAGAGATATTCAGCCTCACACATTATAAGACAAATGCAAATGAAGACTTTGTTTTTCAGATACAATTCGTCATATGGTCAAAGATCAAAGAGTTTGATAATACACTAAATTGGAGGGAGAGTAGAGAAGCAGGCACTCTCTCTTACAGCACATGGGGATATAAATTGGTATAAATCTCTTTGCAGGGCAATTTTATATCACCTTTCAAAATATAAAATTGCATATACTTTTTGATCTGGAAATTCTGCTTCTGGGAATTTTCCTTCAGGAATCATACTGTGAGAACTGCCCACTGTGGGACAGCAATAAAGGCAGGGGAGCTCCCTAAATAATCAGGGGGTTGCCCAGATGGCTCCAGTACTGCCTTCTTATCCAGAACCAGATGGGTGGACCTTCTCCTGGTTCTTGGGTTCCTCCCAGCAGCAATGCCAACTGGTTAATAGCACAGGGGCAGCAGCAGACCATGTGCTGAACAGCCAGGCCACAGTGGCCAGCAGGTTGGAGAAGCCGCAGGCCTGCTGAATCCCAAGAGTGCTCAAACCCCTGTGTACATATTTACAAACTATTTACCCTTCAAATTTCTCCTCCTTCTGTTCCCCACTTTTACCCCTCCTAATACCTGCTATAATCTGTACTACCCCTAGGTGGTCCTACAGGGCCGACCACTTCTGTGCCCAAATTAGGCATGCCCTTCCTAAAATGATTACATCATTCCCATCTGAAGAATGGTTCTGTGTCTGTGCTGTTCTTCAGGATGACCCTGATGCTAGCTGATTTTCTTCCAAGTATGTGCAAACTACATTATGCCTCTCTGAACAATATTATGCTAGGGACCAGATGTTTACTGTTCTTGGTATCTTGTAAACCCAGTTGGTGATAAACTGATCTGTGTTTTTTTCCCCAGTGTCCTTGTACATTTGGGCCTGTTTTTTTTTGTGCAAATGTGTTTTCTACAGATTGTTAAATCTACCTATTTCTAAAATAATATTTGACCTTGACCATATTATATACTTTATGTACAATTTTATTCCTCCTCATTTTACTCCCCAGGGCGTCACAGCATTGTTTGTTACAGCAAACGACTAGAAGCTTCGTAAATTCTGTCAGTGGGTGGCTAGTTAAATATGGTATGGTTCATCCCTGCTATGCAGTCATTGAAATAATATAGCCGTAGTGTATGGTTTAAGTCGTAAAAGCAAGGAGCAGAGTCAAATGCATAAAGCAGGGAGCGGGGAGTATGTATGCATGCATGTGTTTGTACATGTTTCCTGCAAGGAAGTAAAAGAAATCCTTAATAGTGATTGTCCCTGAGGAGAGAACTGAGTGGCTGGGGGTTAGGAAAGAAAGAAAATTTTACTTTTTACTTTTTGATTTTTTTCAACCATCTGCATATATTCATATTCCCAAAGCTAATTTGAAAATAAAATTCTACATGTTTTCTAAAGGAAAAAAAGGTCTCCTCCTCCTTTAGGACCATCCTAAGCCTCACATCTTTAAAGGTCTTGGAGAAGCTCACTTCAAAGGTTGCCTTCCTTGCTCTTCTGCGAATAAGATGTTGTCTGGAATAATAATTTGCTTTTTCTTATGATGAGCCTTGGACTCTGAGTTTTCCTCTAAACAGATGAGAAAGGACTCATGTCTTCAATTTGGGCAAGGACGGTGTCGTCTGTCCTCCTCACTCCCAGATTGCCTCACACATGCTAGACATCAAATACATGTTGGTTGAATTGATGCCTGTCTCCCCCAGTAGACAGTAAGATCCATGAAAGAAGATGCTGTATCTGCTGTTCATTTCTGCAACACCAGCCTCAGCACAGTGACCAGCATTGTCGAATGAATCTCTGTTTGTTGAAACATAATCTTGAAGTAAATCCATTTGCCTCCTTGCCTTAGTTTCTATGGTCCTACCAGAGTGCACACACGTCCATCAATATGGACACTGTATGGTCATTGTTCATTTAGTTGTCTGCCTTCCCAAGGAGGCTTGCAATTCCTGAAAGCAGGAGAGGGCATCTAATTCATCATTTTATCACTAGCTACTGACTTAGCCCTGGCATGTAGTAGGGGCTTAGCAAATTTTGTGGAAGGAAGGAAGAAGGAAGGAGAAAAATGTTAGTGCATGGGGCTTGTCCTAATATTTTATTTTAATAACTCATATTGCACAGCAAGATTAAAAGTTGTTCTGACCCTAAAGTAAATTGGTTACCAATAAATTATGGTAATACTTACAATATTATAGCCTTATTCCTATAGAAAAATAATAAGAAGCAGAAAGAAAAGAATAGTTAAATGAACAAAAATTTCTCAATTTAATTTGCTTTTAGTTGGTGCCCTTCTTCCCTGCATCAAAAAAGATTTTAAAAAGGGGCTCAATTGCCTTAAAAGATCCTCAGGTTGAGGAGATGGATACAAGCGAGGAAAGCCCTAGGTTCTCAGCTAGGGGATAAAGGAGTACATTCCAAGGGCAGATAACTGTACACAGAATTAAAGAAGAAACCTGGGCTCCCACCATGCTTTCCACTATCACAGTTTCCAAAGCTAACATTGCTTAAAACAGCCCTTTATGATAAATTAGATACAGGTACTGTATCAATGTTAAACTTATAGAAGCTGATAAGTATATTGCAGTTTTACGAGAGAATATCTTAATTCTTAGGAAATACATACTGAACTATTTAGGGCTAAGGCATCTGATTGTTCAGAAAAAAATATTTGTATATTAGAGAGAAAGCATGTGCAAATGATAAAGCAAAGGGGCAAAATGTAATGTGGTAACTCTTGGTAAAGGGTATACAGGTGTTCTTTGTTATATTCTTGTAACTTTTCTGTAAGTTTGAATTACTCGCCAACACTTTTTTTTTTTTTAAAGGAAAATGACAGCTCTTTAAGAGCATTGAAGGACAGTATTCACATGCTCAACCCTTCTCAGTGCACTTTACCTCACTTAAGAGTTCTTTGGTTTGCCTCCAGGGCCCCTCCTCTGGCAGCCCCTGTCTGCCACTCCTCTTCTGGGGGCTCCCATCTTCTTCTGCCGTCAGAATGGCATTATTGGCTCTAACCGCCATTATCTATCCCTGCTTTTCCCTGACCTTACCATCTGCCCCAATTTCAATTACTTATTTCATTATTGAGATATAATTCACGAAATATAAAATTCACCCTTTTAAGATACACAATTAAGTAGCTTTTATTCCGCAAAGTTGCATAACCATCACTGTATCTAAATCCAGGTGATTTTCTTCCTGCCCCAAAAGGAACCCCTATGTATTAGCAGTCACCGTTCATTTCCTCTGTCCCCTGTCTCTGGGCAACCACTTTCTCTCTCTATGAATTTGCCTATTCTAGATGTCTCATATACATCACACAATACATGGCCTTTTGTGTGGGGCTTCTCTTGCTTAGCACATTTTCCAGGTTCATCCAGGTTGTAGCATGAGTCTGTCCTTCATCGTTTCTCATGGCTGCATATACTCCACATTCCATTCCATGGCTATCAATTACTTATTTTAAATTTAATTTTATTTTGGGGTAGCTTGTGTAGTTTTGAAAGGGGCTGTAACTTCTCTGAGAAATCAGCCAGGATAGGAAGTTGGGAATACATGGAACACACAGGAAGGAAAGAGGGGGGTCCCTGACTCCTCAGAGGAGAACTGACTCTGTGATCAATGTGGTTTCATTGCTTCTGCCCTGGGCTGGCATAGAACTGGGCACTACAGGGCACAACATCTACCTCTCCTCCACACTGCCTAGTGGGGAGATTCCAGAGGGCTTGTAAGGGTGACCACGTAGCTGAGATGTGGAGCCCTGGAAAACAATAGCATGAGGAGTAGCACACACGCTCTCACACTCACACACATGTGTAGGTGTTCACTCAGGCATGCCACCAAGTGTGGGCAACAGAAATTAATCAGAGAGGCCAGGCATGGGGGCTCACGCCTGTAACCCCAGCACTCTGGAAGGCCGAGGCAGGTGGAGCACTTGAGGTCAGGAGTTCGCGACAAGCCTGACCAACATGGCGAAACCCCGTCTCTAATATATATATATAATTAGCCAGACATGGTGTCGCACACCTGTAATCCCAGCAACTTGGGAGGCTGAGGCAGGAGAATTGCTTGAACCTGGGAGGTGGAGGTTGAGGTGAGCTGAGATTGTGCCACTGCACTCCAGCCTGGGCAAAAAGAGTGAAACTCTTGTGAAAAAAAAAAAAAAAAAAAGAAAGAAATTAATCAGAGAGGCTGGGTGCGGTGGCTCGTGCCTGTAGTCCCAGCACTCTGGGAGGCCAAGGTAGACGGATCACAAAGTCAGGAATTGGAGACCATCCTGGCTAACACAGTGAAACCCCGTCGCTACTAAAAAAAATACAAAAAATTAGCCAGGCATAGTGGCGGGTGCCTGTAGTCCCAGCTACTTGGGAGGCTGAGGCAGGAGAATGGCATGAACCTGGGAGGCTGAACTTGCAGTGAGCCAAGATTGCACCACTGCACTCCAGCACTCTAGCCTGAGTGACAGAGTGAGACTCCGTCTCAAAAAAAAAAAAAAAAAAAATCAATCTGAGAAAGAGATTTGCCCACTCTCTAGCATCCCCTTCCAGCTGAAGGGTTCCAGTGAAGTTACAGGAAGTAGGTAGTTCCTTGGGCATCTGCTCTGCATGGTGATTCTCACGGCAATGACCCATTGTTGGAGGCTGGACAAACTGTCCTGGGTACTTCTCACTCCCTACCAAGGGTGTGTGAGAGTGTCTGTGTGTGTGTGTGTGTGTGTGTGTGTGTGTATGCATTCACTCTGGTTTTCTAGTGAAGGCAAAGAGGAGGCAAGCTGTGGGAAAGAGGATTCTCTCTCTCTGCAGGGCTAACTGCTGATTCTGGAGAGGGGAGAAAATGGAACATGGAGAGGCAGAAGAAAGGTAGGAGTAGTGTTAACATGTGGAATCCATTAAGGGCTGGAAGTGTGATTTATTTTAGGAAGAGCAAGTTCTCTACCATCAAAGGTGACAAAGGATCAACTCAGAGAGGACAGGCCTGCTTTTCAAGAGCCCACACCCAAAGCAGAAAGGTGAAGGAAAATGAAACATTTTGCACTGATTGGGTTGGAATAGCAGAGTGATGCAGAAAATTCTGATATCAATTTTCCTGACAATTCTGGTGTCTGATGAATTGGCTTCTCAGTCAGATGGTTCACAGGTTCAGAAAAGGCTTGTTGATCCATTATCCACTCAGGGAGGGGTTCCATAAGTGGACATTCCAGGGCCCAGAATCTTAAGTTCTCATGCAAGAGTGCTCTGATGGAAAAATTTCCATCATGCTTTACTTTTCTTTAGCAAAGAACACTAAATATAATTCAACCTTGACTTGATGGCTGCGACTATCAATACTACAGGACAACTTGACTGAGAAATAAAGTGTGTCCAGCTCTCTTGGCCTTTAAGTTGTCACCAAATAATAATAGCAGCTTTTCCTCCCCACCCCAGGAGAGGAATCAGAGCTTGTGCCAATTGCTTTGGGGGAGAGTTGAGACCTCTGACTTTGCAGGAGCTCCTGGAAGCACAGTGTGAGAGTCTCGGGGTTGTGGCCTGATCCTGGGAAGGTCAGGACTCATGGAGAGCGGGGCAGGGCAGGGCAGAGGGTGTTGCTTGCTTTGTTGTGGCACTTGAAGAGCTGGCTCTTTGCGGGGGTGGGAAGGCGACAGTATGGATACCTTGGGTCAGAGTACTCAGCTCTGTCCTCCCTCAGTTTGGCAGATAGGACAGAAGTTCCAGTGGCTGAACTGGCACAGAGGGAGAGGATGCTTTGAATATTCTAACTGCCCACCCTTGTATAAAATGCATGGGCATAGACAGTGAACAGCCAATTGCAACCATGATAAATGACAAGCCAGGAACCTTCCCAAATCTCTTGGACTGTGTATCCCCGGGGTTTGTTATGATGGGTTGGGTGGTATCCTTAAATACAACTGAGATTGGATTTCTCCTATTCCTGTTTGGTGGGGACTGACAGGTGTAATTTGATTTGGAAAATCAAAAACAGGCACAATGAGCATGAATGTGAGCAGGAGGGCTGGTTACTGGGTTGGGATACCACACAGTGATGCTGGGGAGAGCTGGTGTTCCCCTTGCCTTCCCAGCATCTCTCCACTTCTTCCTTGCTGCCTCTGCCTTATTTGCAAACAGCTCCTGTGGGCAAGGGGCTGCCTCTTCTGCAAACTTGAATTGTTTCTGCCTGCTTTCAGGGTCCCACCTATATTCAATAGTTCAAACAGCGAAAGTCTGGCCTTCTGATACCTGGAGAGTCGCCTAGATTATCCCTTGTCAGTTAAGGCAATGCTAGGACAGAGCCACAAACTTGCCAGAGGCTTCTCCAAGTTACTAGGGTTGGATATAACTTGACTTCACTTAACCTACTGATTTTTTTTTTTGTTTAATTTGGATCATTCTTTTCTAAAAAAAAATGAAATCAGCTGGGATAGTCTATAATTGAGATGTTTTATTTATTTCATATTTGCTCTTTCTCAGCAGAATCATAAAAATTTGAGATATTTTATATAAAAACATCTGATTTCTCTATGTCTCCTAAAAAAAATCTGGCACCTTCAGGCTTCACTCCTCCATGTCAGCGCTTGACTGGCACTGGGCGGGGCTGCCACCTTTCTATGTGCCCTGGCTCCCAGAGGGCACAGGTGCTGTCCCTCCCTGTGATATTCCACCTTGCCCTCTTCCCTCTGCCTGCCAGGCCCATGGCTGTATATGACTCATAGGCCCTGGCCCTCGATCCTGGAGAGGTTGAGCTCTTAACCTCTCCTAGGCCTGCCTTTTCCTACTAAACTTTCAATAATTTTTCATTGCCAGCATGATTAAGGCCATCCTGGTCCTCCTTTCCTGACTTTTCCCAGGTTGTTTCTAACATTTTTTTTTTCATCATGATACCAAATAGCCAGCCCCTGCACAGAATGTGTGAGTGAAAAACACTAGCCCCAGTCAGTACCTTAACATGCCGGTTATCCAGGCCCTTTGTGTACTCGTCAAACTCTACTCCAACAGTGAAATTCACATCATAGTTGCGGAATGTGCTAGTGGTTTTTGTCTTGAAGTTATCACCATCTTGATCAATAACCTTCGTCTGAGTGAGATGTACTGCAATCTTGCGGGTGGCAAAATCAATATCTGTTGGCAAAGGGAATTGTGGAGGTTATGATGTGCTCAGCCAGACTCATTCATTTCTTTAACAAGACCAAACATTCAAGACTAGAGACACAGATTGTGTATAGGCCACCTGTCTTTGCTTAAGTGGGAAACAAGCATCTTACTCGTGGCCAAGTTGGGCATCTCAGTCGGTTGCTGGGAAACCTAGGAGTCTCCTGGCACCTCCTCAGGATCCCTGATGGGAGGGAGATGTAGCACACAAGACTCACCCCTAAGCTGCAGCTCCCCAACACCCACACACACACACACACACACACACACACACACATACACGTCACAGCACCTCTATTCTATCTGACCCGTTGGGCATCCTCCTAAGAGTTTGCTGAACAAAAAGATCTGATGATTTAAAAGAAAAGAGACTTTGGAAATCACCAGTTTTAATCATGGTTAAAGATGAAACTTAGGAAACTTTTGTTAATGTCCACAGTGGGGAGGGATAGTTACAAACTTCCATTTTAACAGCAGACTGTTTTGCCTCAGTTCTTAGCCACCAGTAAAGGTTTGTTTTTTGTTTTTTATTTTGTTTTGTTTTTTCAAGATGTGGTCCTACTCTGTCGTCCAGGCTGGAGTGAAGTGTCATGATTTTGGCTAACTGCAACCTTGACCTCCTGGGCTCAAGTGATCCTCCCATTTCAGCCTCCCAAGTAGCTGGGACAACAGGTGCACACCACCATACCCAGCTAATTTGGTATTTTTTGTAGAAATGGGGTTTCAGAATTTGGCCAGGCTGGTCTCAAACTCCTGAGCTCAAGTGATCCATGTGCCTTGGTCTCCCAAAATGCTGGGATTACAGGTGTGAGCCACAATGCCTGGCCCCCAATGTAGTTTTAAACATATTCTGGACAATAAATACTCGTTCAGAGATTTCTTCCTCCTCCTCCTCCTCCTCCTCCTTCTCCTCCTCCTTCTTCCTCCTCCTCCTCCTCCTCCTCCTTCTTCTTCTTCTTCTTCCTCCTCCTCCTCCTCCTCCTCCTCCTTGAGATGGATCTGGCTCTGTTACCCAGGCCGGACTACAGTGCCACGATCTCTGCTCACTGCAAGCTCCGCCTCCAAGGTTCACTCCATTCTCCTGCCTCAGCCTCCCAGGTAGCTGGGACTACAGGTGCCCATCACCACACCCGGCTAATTTTTTGTATTTTTAATAGAGACAGGGTTTCACCATTTTAGGCAGGATGGTTTCGATCTCCTGACCTCATGATCCGCCCGCCTCAGCCTCCCAAAGTGCTGGGATTACAGACGTGAGCCACCACACCCGTCTGTTGTTTTTAAGGGATAGGTTGATAATTGTTTACATTTTTATTTTGAAAATGTTGAAACAAACCAAAGGAGTGTTGAATGTCCTAACCGTTGCACATTATAACAAGAAGCTAACCCCTAGTTAAGCATAAAATGTGGCTCAACTACAGCCATGCCAAAAAGTTGTTGGCCTGTGGAGTAGATCTAGAAAGAGAGGATAGTTCTGAAAATACTTGAATTTCTTCCCTTGCTATGAAATCATCTCTCTTGGTCTTTAGTCGGATATCTGATTCCCATTATGCCTGTAAATTCTCCAGATATCTTTAGATGCCAATTTAAATATTTAATATTTTTTCAGAAAATCCACTGAGAAGGTTTTAAAAAACACTAGGATTGATTCTATTAAAACCCAAGGATAGTAATGACCTCAAGAATAAGAACAGTTCAAATTTCTCAAGTGCTATTTCTCTGAGAACTGAAGTGCCATCTTTATGATATATAAATGATAACATTTCATGTTGTGCGCTGTCCGGTGCAGGACAAACACTATATTGTGACCATGAGAGAGAGAGAACAGCAGGTAGTTCAGGAAGTTCCTGTCAGTTTGGAGACTGACAACTCTGCTACCCTTCCCATGGTGGCCAAGCATCACTTCCTCACTCTCTCCCCATTTCCTTTAAAACTCTTTCTTTGTGTCTGGACCTGGTGGCTCATGCCTGTAATCCCAGCACTTTGGGAGGCCTAGGTGGGTGGATCACCTGGGGTCAGGAGTTCAAGACCAGCCTGGCCAACATGGTGAAACCCTGTCTCTACAAAAATACAAAAATTAGCTGAGCATGATGGAGGGTGCCTATAATCCCAGCTACTCAGGAGGCTGAGGTGGGAGAATCACTTGAATCTGGGAGGCGGAGGTTGCAGTGAGCCAAGATTGTGCCATTGTACTCCTTGCAACAGAGCAAGACTCCATCTCAAAAAAAAAAAAAAAAAAAAAATCCTTCTTTAGTCACTATTACTCCCTTTCTCCCCAAAATCAAGGAGAGGCCAAATTGGCCACTTGAACCTCACTTTGGGTCAGCAATTTGAATCCACAACAGAATCACAGCTGCATAAGGAAGGGCCCTGGGTATTCCTTTAGACTCTAACTTGTATAAAGTCAGATTTGAGCCTGACGGAATAATTTTAAGTAATATTAGCTAGCTGGAAGGTAAAAGGATTATATGCCTGTATCCTAAGTTGAAAAGAGAAGTAAGTTCAAGTTGGCATGAGCTGCTGCACAAATGCCAGTGCCCTGCTCACCTCTCATTCTCTACTATTTGTTGAGTACCTCGCATGTCTAGGAACTCACCAGTGGGTCCCAAAGCTAGTTCCCTTCCTGGATCACCTGAGATAACGTAAAAAAATGCAGATTTCTGGGTCCTATCCCAGACCTAGAATCTCTGGGTGATAGAGCTCAGTGATTTCAGATTTTGAACTTTGTCCATAGGAGGCTGTTTGGAAAAAGACTTCTATGGTTTAAAAATTTTGAAAGGTACTGTTTAAGTGCCTACTTGTCAGGACAGAGATGATGAAGTAAGACCTAGAGAGGCTAGTTTACTTTTCTAAACATACATGGCTGAAGCAGCAATCACAGTGGCTTGGTAATTGGATAAATGTATAGAGAGATTAGGTTGGAAGGAAGAAACAGTGGTTCTGAGCTTGGACGATCAAGGTGAGAGCCAGGGAATAAAAGAGTGAACTAGTTTTATGGGCAAACATAGGGAACTGAATTTTAGGTAAGGTGAATCTGCGAGCCATGCTGTGTGGACTCTTGGTAATATTTGAGATGGCAATTAAGACTCTCTTTGTGTCTAGGGATGGTGTCCCTTTGTGTCTAGGGACAGTGTCTAGGGGTGGCGGCTCAGGGTGTAACCTCCCTTGGGAAACCTTCCTCACTTTATTCTTCAAACACACCCACAAGGTAAGTTTTATTTTATTTTCATTTTGCCAGTGCAGAAAAACTGCCTCAGAGAAGTTGTGTCACTTTCCCTGGATTATGTGGTGAGGAAGCAGTTGAGATGGTACTTGAACTTAGGACGATCTGTCTCTAGGGCTAGTGCTCTGCTCCCCAAGCTCTGGGGTAACACAGTTAGACCATCCCCATGTGTGCAATTTCCGTGGCTGCCCAAGATACTAGTAATTTCTGACTCTGTTAAATTTTCCCTGGAGACACAGGGACTGTGGGATTCAGTTGGATAAGCCCTCCCTGTTTCAGGCAGTTTGTTTTCCAAAGCCCTTGCATACTGTCCCCAACCAAATGACAATTGTTTTCTAGGCCCAGGGCTGTATAATAAGTGAGAGCTGAAGCAATCACACTCCAGCCGGGTACATTATCTGGTAGCTCATTTAACTTCACCTCTGTGGCTTATGGAATTGTACGTGAGCGCGTCCCAGCCACACAGCCTGCGAGGCTTGGGGTGCGGGCTGAGACGAATGGTCTCTCAGCTGCCTTTGGTTCTGTGAATTCCTCTAGTCTTCTTGGCCAGCATGCCCAGAGCCCCTACTTCCCCATTGTGTTCGCCGTGGGGTACAGCTCCATCAGATGTTTAGTGGTCAAAAAAATGGGCTCATAAGCAAATAAGTTTGGGACATGAGGAATTAAAACCAAGACAAGCTGGTTTCTGCCCTATAGAATTTCATAGATTCTTTAACAGAGGAAAGGTACTTTATAGCTCCAAGTTGGAGGGAGGGTACAGGATGCAGCTTTTCAAAGTCTTGGGCGGCCACGGAGCCCCTCTGTGGAGGAACATGCAGTCGGCCAGGTGTCCCACACAACTTACTATGGAAAGGGCTCACCAAACCTTTTCTGACACATTTATCTCAGCCACCTTGGCCTTGCAATCATGAAAATACCTGTTTAATTTTTCTCTCTTCAAGGTAACTGCTGACCTGTTTAGGTGGGACCAAGTGGTCAAGTAGTTCCGACTTAAAAAATGAACCCTTCCTTAAAATTGCTACAAGCCACTGAAGAGCATCCTCCTTGTTCTAGTGAGTACAAGCACATGCTTGTGGTGTGCAAAGGAGCTGGCAAGAGGCTGGCATGTCACACTCCAGCTCATATTTCTCTCCTTCTGCCCCAAGTGTGTCCAGCTTCAGTCTCGTCACTGGACATTTGGTTCCAGATCTAAAGCAGCAGAGGGCAGTGGCCATATGTGGAGCTATTATTAACTGCATCATCTTGTTGTGAGGATCAAATTTGATGGTGTTTGTAAGAGCTTTGCCCAGTGGCTGGCAGCCTGTAATCATGGCTTTGTAAATGGAGGCTGCCCTCATCATAATAGCATTATGAAGCTCCTGATCTCACAGGCCAATTTCCTTAGAGTCCTTTGTGTTTTCCCATATACCCCTTGAACAGTTGCTCTCTGAATCCTCACTCTCGTCCCAGCTTTCCAAATCTCATAAGGCCCAGCCCCAGCTTTGCCTCCTCCTACTCTTTCTTGCCTCCTTCCTTACCTGCTATCCAGGCCAAACAGTTTTACTGCTCCCCTCTACCTGCCAACTGTATTTAGCATTTCCTCCTGCATTTTTCATGGAGTTGGTTATTCTTTCTGGCAGTCTCACCTCTATGAGGACAAGGACAATGCCATCTTCTTGCTCTGTGTTCCCCACCCCACCACACCATAGAGTCTTGAGCTGATCACATAGTAGGTACTCAAGAAATACTATGGATTAGTTAATGGAGGCAG